TTTTAAAAATTTTGAGATTTTATTCCATGTTAATTTGGCTGCTATTATGGCATTTAGACTATTAGCTAAATATGAAAAGAGAAATCAAACCCCAACGCGGCAGAATGGTGGGGGGGGGGTGATGATGAGCCTGATCAAGATCTCATGCTTCCATCATCTCGAGCCATCGTGGTCCCTGGTCTACTTAGTCAGAGGAGTTGGACGGCCCAATCTGACTAAAGGATCCTTGTTAGTATTTATGGGTTGCATCATCCAAGGTTACCTTACAGACCTTAGAAGAATGTTTATCTAAGGGGATAAATTTAAATCCTCCTTAGCTAATAGAGGGATTTGTGCCCTATTGATTATATCCTATTGATTAATATCTCAAAGATTTAATGCCATTGAAAAGTATACAGGCTATGGCCATGACCATAATATAACAGTGTTGTTTGGTGGTGAATCACCCAATTCAGAGGGCCCCAGTCATAAATGTTTACCTGCGATGCCATTTAGAGGTGAAACCCTCATTGTGGTGCCATTTAGCAACAAAATCATTAATTAGAGAACACGTGCCACGCTCTTACTAATATGAGACAGATTAAGAATGGATGTTAGTGATATTCTCGATGATATATTAGCTCTTTATGAGCTGAAATAGTATTCAGATTTGTTCACCTTGAAAAACTATTGTGGAAGGTGTATAAGTATTTTATTTTAAGTGTTTGATAGATTATTTTAATTTTAAATATTCTTGAATTTTGATTTCGTTTTTAATATAAAATTTTTAATTTTTTGGGCATTTGAGAGGATATTAAATATCTAGAATTAACTCCTCTAGTTGAGATCTACATTCAACACTGCCATCATCAAGGTATTTAAGGGCAATTTTATTTTGTTGAATAGACCTTGTTGATCCTATCCGGTTGTCGACAGAGGATTAGATCCATTTTAGGCTTGGTGCCTTTGTTAATGAATTTTGTTTGTTGTAGGCCTTTAAGGCCTAATATAAACCTAATAAAATAAATATCCCGGTAGACTCCATGACCGTATATTTGTTTGATAATTTGAGCTGTGTCGACTCCTACCTACATGTATAAAAGGATTGGGCTCAAATTTGGATTTATTATTTGACCTATGCAGCATCCTTATACATTACACATACATATACAATAGTCTCGCCAAGGTCCGTGTAGGTATTTAGGGGGTATTTTGTAATTATTTGTTGAACCTTATTGAATATATCTAATTCGTGATGAAAGATCAGGTTCATTATCAATTGTATGCTTTTATTAATGAATTTCCTATTTATAGATCGTGAAGGCTTAATATGAACATGTAAAACAAATGTCTCGGTCGACACCACAACCGTCCATTTGTTTGATAACTCAAGCTATGTCGACTCCTATCTACTAGCATAGGAGGATCTGGCTTGAACTTAAGTTTATTTTTTGACCCGCACAGCATCCCCGGACATCATGTGTGTACCCATTTGAGAGCTTATACACATTTACACTTTCATGTTTGTGTGTATACATGTTGTAATTTATGTGTTGGGGCATTTTAGAATATTTTAGTTGTATGGACAACTATTGTTTTAGTGTGCACAACATTTAATTTGAGAGCTTAAACATGCCTTCTATTTTCTTATATGAGTGTTTCAATTTCGATGTCGCGGCACAGCAGCTTTCAGAAGCCTTCTATTTTCTTATACGAATGTTATAGATCCGGTGGCGTAGCATCATGTTTAAAAGGAATTTATAAATGTATTTTATCTTCTTGCATGGATGTTACAGATTCGGTGGTATGGTGTCATACAACAGGGTTATAGTTTCTTTGTATTGGTGCATTGTCGTGCACTTGTTACTTTATGTAGGTCAATTATTGTGCTCTAACAAATTTTCTGATGTTGTTCGTAGGTAACTACATTCTCTATTGTTCTCTTATACTCGCTCACATATAACCTACTAAATGCACAATGAATTTCCTATCTCATAAGCATCTATATTTAGTGTAATCACGTTGCATTTTTCTCGTGGACATTATATTGGATATATAACGGGTCTTCTACAACTGCTTGTAAAAGCTTACATCAACTGCATATCGTCCATTTCTTCTTGTAATGGATCATCGTAATTGCTAGTCATTGAATGGTGGTTGGTTGTAAGGGTGTCATGACATCCATTGCTTGTTGTTGATTATCACTATAGCATCTACAACATATCTTCCATCAATGTTAGCAAATTCTCACATTCATTACAGCTCTTCCTGTATTTACTTGTAGATAATACACTACAGACATTTAGGGTCTCCTACTATGGCCCATAGTTGTTTGTACATGTTGCATCTCTTTCATTTCTACTCACAAATAAAATATGGTTCATAAAGGGGTCTCCTATAGTAAATCGTAGGAGCTTGCATTTGTCATAATCCTTTTATATTTGCTTGCAAATGACATGTTGAGTACATGATGGGCCTCCTATAGTGGTCCGTAGGCGCTTGCATACACTTTTTGTGTTTCATCTTTTCCTTCAAATGATATAGTAAATGTATGACGAGTCTCCTGTCGTAATTCTTAATCATTTGTATTAGCCACGTATCATCTACTTCTACTGGTAGAGGACCGGTATACCTACCCGACATCGAGTGGTTATTGACTGCAAGGGTGTTGCAATATTCACCTCCTCCTGCTACATAGTTTGTACGCACTTATATTTATCGCATGCTTACTACCCTTGCATGTTGATAGCTTGTTGTTTATATAGCAAGCCTAATAAAATGACTCGCAGGTGTTTACATTTATTGTATATCATCTACTTTTGCTAGTGAAGGACCAATGTATTTGCATGAATCTCAATGGCATTAATTGCATGAGGGTTATGCTTTATTTCAAGTGATTCATTGTATTTTGTCGCATATCAATTTCCTTCACCTTCACAGAACTCACACATTTGCTAAATACTTGATTGGCGTTAACTATGAGAGCATCTTTGCGATCATCGCATATCCACTGTCATCATACATAGGAGTTTGGTGTATTTTACTATAAGCCAACACTGACTGCCAAATGTATTATATTCATTGTGCATCGACCAATGTCCATTGCATGTTAATGTTTGTAAGCATAACATTCTTGTTGTCTTTGATTGTGAGGAGTATGCTTTCATTCTTTGCTCATAAACAGCTCGACACATATTTTCATGCTATTATTCATAGTTAATTCATCATACATTCTTTTTCCTTGAAAACATTCTTAGTTTGCTTGGCATTTATGTTAACATGATGATTTTCTACATTTATTGGAAAAATTTCAAGTTCAGTATATTATTACATCTTCCATTTGATCCTTGCTCTCAAGTGAATTGTATTTGGAAATTCTTTATTTATCACATGCTATTAGAACCGCTTGTATTTAATTCATGTAAATTATTGTTTAACATAAATATTTAAGTTAGGTTCCCTTGTTTAAACTAAGTTCTATTCCCAATTGTCTTATTCAGTTCAAGTTCCCTATAACTCATGTTCAACTCGAGTCCCCTGCACTTAGTTCACCCGAGTTCAAGTCAGGTTCCTGCTATCTAAATCCAAGTCTTCTGTTAATTGTTCAAGTTATGTTTAAATTATTTGAATCATGTTCACCGTCAATCATTTAAGTTCATAACTCTTGTCACTAGAAAATTTGGCAGCCTCCCAGCGTCTTCCTTGTTTAGGCAAAATTTCAAGAGCTTGGGCCCCCACCATGCTAGGGAAAAGTGTATACGGTAGGTGTTGGATGATGCAACAGTCATAAATCTTCAATCCTACAACGCTAAAGAAATATGTTTATGAGTTTTCCGGGCACCTGTTTAAAATGTGCAATTATATTCCCAATAGGCACTAAGGCGCATACATATACTTAAAAGTCTCTCTGCCACGTTACGAGAGTGTGTACAGGGCCTACTCACATCATCGTATGCATCGCACCGAGTTCCATTCCCATCACGCTTAAGAAAAACGTGAATGGGCGAGTTTTCAATGCACCGTGAATGTTGAAAATAGGATTTTGAGTTTTAGAATGTTATACATGCGCGACAAGGTGGCAGTGACATCGGTGTTAATGTCAATAAAAAATTCACCCAAAATTCTATCTCTCTTTATATATATATACAAATGATATATATAATTATAATTATTAATAATGATAATAATTGAAATAGAAGGCTAGGATTTTATTTGAGTAATTAAAATGAAAGGCTAGAATTGCATATGAGTGGAATCCCAAGCCACTTTTATATAGTAGATAGATATATATAATACAAATGTAATAATACCTTTCTCTTATTGTAGGTGTGGAGATAGGGTGGAAACAGTGATGGAGGTAGAAGGATGGATGATTTGGTTTGTGAGAAATCGGGCCTTGTGAGGTGAGGGTTATGTGGAGCTTGATACGGCATAGGAGCAGGTAGAGGAAGTTGATCGGCTAGATCCTGTGTGAAGCGAACAATCGGCCTACCGTCGAAGGTAGGGGGTTGTCACAATGAAGGCTATGGCTTCGGTGGATATGATCGCTGCTAGCGTCGGGTTTGATGATGGATGAAGGCCGACGAGGTAGCAGCTGGGGTTGGCGCAGCTGCAGACGGTGGAAGTCGGAGCTGCTGTGAGGAGGCGGAAGGCAGTCGGGGCTGTAGGCTTGCGGCTGTGGAGATCGGCTCAGATCAGAGGTGGAGTTCGGAAGGCTTGGGCTCAGCAGTGAAAGAATATTCAAAAGGTTCTCGGGGGCTGGATGTCAATTTGCTGTTAGAAGAGTGGAGGAAGCAGGAACCGAACTCTTCGCTCCCTTTCACCTTAGGGCATCTTCATTTTTAATTCCAAAATGTCGTGATTCATCTTCAATCTAATTTTATTTTACCCCCTTTTGTGAAGGTAACGGCCGTTCTCTTCTTTCACGTGTTTCTTCCGCAAGTTCGATAGAGACTGAAAAATAGCAAAGATAAACAATGCAACGTCAATATTGGCGTCCCACTGTTCATCCGCAACCAAATGGCTAAAGTTTTACCGTTCGGCTGGAGCTCGCGAGCGACGCCATTCAAGAGTTTTAAGTTCGGTTGGAGATGCCCTTAATAACGAGAGAATAGATGTTTACAATATGATAATGATCTCAGGATTTGCACAATGTCCACGGGAAGTGATGTAAATGGTGCCAAACTGTACCAGGTACGTTATTCAAGTGGGATTTACGCATGGTTTCAGGGATTTTCGTTGAGGTTTGAGCTAGGTTCTAGGCTTTTGTCTAGAGGTCAACACTTAAGTTTTATTTTTTTTATCTTTATTTTTTACTTTTTGTTGAGCAACATATGCAACAAGATTGGAGTTGAGTTTGTGTGGGGCAATATGAAATATATCACCCAAATTAATGTTGTAGCTCTTGCTAATCATGTCATATTAAAAACTTCTTCCTTTTACCTTTTCGTGACAACTACTTCATAAGTTTCTCATACCGCCTAATAGAAATTCATCCTCTTAAATCCCGTATATGATATATTATAACATGATCAAAATAAACTTTGGTTATATCACATCATCTATTTTAAGTCCTGATTTTTTACGTAATAGCATGTGATACCTCATTTGATTGACATAATGACCAACTTGATGACAATCCTACTCTAAAAATCATTCTTTTAAGAGTTTCCATCCATCACTCGTTAGAAACTCTCTCGTCTTATTACTATGTGGCCTCATGGATTCCAGATGTAGCCCCCATAGAAAATCATCTTGCACTATCATCTAAACATCAATAAAACTTCGATACACTTCATTCGATGTGGCCTTTAACTCTAACGAAGTATTGGATTACCCGTCTACAAAGTTCTTTTTCAATATGCTAACCAAAAATACTGATGCTTTCATAGGCCTATCATAATATATCTCTACATATTGCTTATAAATGACTAAAAAAATTAAGGAAAAATTTAATGCAACATAGAAGATAATTGACAAGCAAGGCGAGGAGATGCAACTAGGCGTAGTGCATCCTTATAACCATAGGTGATTCCTTAAAATAGGAGTGTCTATTGCCGTTATGCGTTAATGCTTTGAGAGTTACTATCTAATTATGATGTATTTACTATACAATACGGTTAAGCAACATTAATCATCATTGGATATCTCATCTTAACCAACTACTAGAAAACTTAAAAATCTAGTTCTATCAACATGATATTTCTTTGATTACAATTTTGAAAGGGGACCTAAAATCACAATCTAAAAGATATGATATATTGAATCCAATGATACCCTTGTTTTATTTTCTATTGATTGATCAATGCATACGTTGTATAAAACATACGATATATCTAATTATGTTGAAAATAAATTTTCATTAAAATTTTCAAGTAAAATCTTTAATAATGCACAACATATATGAAAATTAAAATTTATTAGAGTTCATTATCTAAATTTTCAATTTATGCATTTCCCCCCATTTAATTGATTTATTTTCATACAACAACAACAACAACAACATCAAGCCTTTATCCCACTACGTGGGGTCGGCTACATGAATCCTTTTTCTCCATTGTGTCCTATTAAAAGTCAAATTCTCGTTTAAATCTAATAAAGAAAGGTCATTCCTAATATTTTCTAACCAAGTCTTTTTAGGTCTACCCCTACCTTTCTTAACATAAGTCAAATCTAATACCTCTACTCTCCTAACCGGGTCATCGCAAGGCCGCCGTTTTATGTGACCAAACCATCTAAGGCGACTTTCTCTAATCTTATCTTCTACTGGAGCTACTCCAACCTTTTAACGTATATGCTCATTTCGTATCCTATCTCTAAGGGTAAAGCCACTCATCCACCTGAGCATCCTCATCTCTGCCACACTTAACTTAGTATTATGCTTCTCTTTTAAAGGCCAACATTCGACACCATAAAGCATAACTAAATGGGTAGGGCTTAATGGGTGACTGCCATTGCCATTTCAGCTAGTCAGTTCTTCATTTAACTGGCCACTTACATATGATTAATAGCAAGTCGCCAGGGCTAGTATTAATATTTATAATTTTTTTATAATAAAAGTATATGTAAGGTCTCTTTTAAAAATTTATCCAAAGCCATGTTATAAGGAAAAACAAGGGGCCAAATTTCTCTTTTCCTCTTCGACCGTAAATATTTAGAAGTATATTTTTGTCAAAGGCATATTATAACCGAATTTGCAGTATCTCTCCGCTATTCCTGCTCCTCCGTCGCTGGAATCAGTGACCCAGCTCGTCTTTCCTCCTTAAAGCGATCGGCGGAGCTCAACCTTCGATGGACTCATCTCCCCTTCTTCCATTTCCCTCTTCCCCCTCCCCTTCTTCCGCCGCCATGGTCGGCGTCGTCGACTATCGCGGCCGCCCTGCCTCCCGTTCATCTTCCGGCCGGTGGACCGCTGCTCTCTTTATCATCGGTAAGAGAGATCCTCTATCTTTGAGTCCATTCCCTTACAAGCCCTCATTGCGGCTGTTCTTTCGGTTTCTGATATCTGATCTGGTGATCTCATCGCAGGAGTGGAGATTGCGGAGAGGTTTGCGTACTATGGGATTTCTTCGAACCTCATTACGTATCTCACAGGGCCGCTCCATGAATCGACGGCGGCGGCGGCTGCTGCCGTTAATACTTGGTCGGGAGTGTCGTCGATGCTACCGCTCGCTGGCGCATTCGTGGCCGATTCGTATTTCGGACGTTACAAGACGATTCTTTTCGCTTCTCTGCTCTACATTTTGGTCTGATTCTTCTTGCCCGAATAATGCCCCCGCCTTTTTTTTTCTTTTTCTGTTAAACGATGATATATATTTTTTAATAATTTTATGCACTTTTTGAAAGACAATTGGATAAGAATTTAGCTGCGTGGTTAACAGTTGTAAGTGGTTTTTTTGAAGTAAGTAAAATGACATCCATTCAATATTTTGGTTAATGGATTTATGGCCATTGAATTGAGCTTTTAACCTTTTCTTTTTAATTTCTTTTCACTCAAATTCCTAGCCTCCAGACGAGTTAAAGTTAGCGAAGATTTTTTTTTTATTTGTAAAATAATACAGTTATTGTTCATATCGCCCAGAATTATCACAATGGAACAAATGTAAATTTATGCAATTTAGGCGTATTCTTCTAATTAGACTGATTAGACTTTTCAGGATCACATAATTTGACAATCTAATGTTACTCTTTGTTTTCTGGGTGCATGATGGTGAATGCATTGCTATTACCAGTAGCCATTATTCTCATCATTATAATGTTGAAATTATTGCTGTTTTTTGTATCCTTCAAGCTTAGGATAATATAGGAAGCAGATAGCCAAGTTTTTGGAAGAGTTGAAGAAAGTGAAGGATGGGGTTTGGGGACATTGGGCCGCACATGGAAGGAATGACCAATGCTTCAAATGAAAAAAATTAAATGATCTAAACAAATACTGTGGAGGCGGAAATTCTCTTTTGCGGTTCTTTTTCTCAAATCTAGGTTCTATAGGGCTCCTCAGAAGTAGCTGCCCAAATCTTTATCTCTTAGTTTTGGTGGGGTTTGTGTGATAATCTCTTTAATGAAGTTATGATTATATTGATGTTTTTATAAAGAAAGCCTAAATCATCCTCAACCTTTGACATTCAAACAAATTTGTCCCACTGATGAATCCATTGACTCTCGCTCATGGAAACCTACATAAGTACACTCTAAAGGTGTCTAGATTTAGACAGAAGTTTTATTAACTGAGTCATTTTCCAAGGGTTTAAATATTCTCCTGATCCACATGGAGGGAAGAATATCTTTGTTGTATGAAGCACTGTTCCAATATGTTCTCTTTTTAAGTTTGTTTAACCACTTTTAATTTTGTTTTGGAAAAAACAAGGACGGGATCTCTATGCACGTAAGCATAACAAGTAGCGGCAACCATGTCCAAATAACCATTACCAATAGTCAAAAAATTCTTAAATATGAATATGTGTTTCACAGAACGAAAGAAAACTATATTGGCAAGAGAGCTGAGGTGTTCTTTTGTTAGCAATGGGATCCACAAGTATGTCATTGTGGACATTGGTCTTTAGAGGACAAAGAAGATCAGAATGAAAGTCTTGGATAGATTTCCTACAATTTAGAGTATGTCCCTCTCTTTGATGGCTCCTTTCCTAAAGATGCAATGACCGAGAATGATACATGGGTGAAAAAGAGTTACTTTGTTTGTTGATCAATTTTATTTTGTTTGGAACTTGAAGGGCCAATTTTGGAGGAAAAAAAAGGTTTGGAATTCTCCAAGATTTGCATGTGGGATGGGAGTCTAGGAGGTTTTGAAGAGGATGTGGGGGTGGAGTGTTGTGGAGGGTGAGGTGTTTGTGAAAGAGCTTGGTGATGTGGAGGATTTTTTTTTTTAAGGTGTATTTGTAGTGTTCAATGAAAAACAAAAACTTTCGGGGTTTCATGGGAGCTCTATTTTTCCTCTTTTTTTTAGCATTGTGACAAAATGATGAAGCAAGTAGTGAAAATCCGTTTGTAATTGCCTGAGAAAGAGATTGGTTGTTCAGAAATCAAACGTGTTAATGGTCACTTTGAATTTGTGAAAATTGTTCAGTGAGAGCTATATCCCTTTGTTTCAGAAAATGCAAAAGAAAAGCTTAATCATCTTTTTATATTCTAGATATAGGAATCACCAACAAATTAAAACATAAGCATTCTCTTTTCTGCTAAAAACTGTGAAATCATCTTTACCCTTCAGCAACTTGGACTGTACTTTTGTATGATCTTTCTTTTTTATAATGAATAATTCATAACAGAAACTCTTTTCAATAAGAATTTTTTATAAAAGTTAATCGCTGCCTCTGGTGCATGTGGTTGTATAGACTATTAGAAGTACAAAAAAGAAATTAATAATACCACATTTGCCACAGAGGCATAGTTCGTCACGACAGAACCCATATGGATTACAATAGTCCATTTGATATGCACCATAACCTGGTTCATTTGCAGCATTTTATGAGTTAAGGAACATGCTTTGATGATTATTTTCAAGGGATTTTTACATACATGGCATTTCAAACTATTATAAATACATATTAAACTCCTAAAGTTTTATATTTACTAATGTACCACCTAAAACCTCTCTTTTCATCTATTCTAACACTTCGTGCTACCCGTCAAAAATCCCGTCAGCCTCGCGTCTTCCCTTCGACCCGCCTTCCCCAGTTTCTGAGACCTTTTACTCATTTACTGCGATGGATTCACCACCGCCGGCCTCGCCACCATAGCTGAGAACTACATGTATCCACGCTTATCAGATCCTCAAGGAGCCCGAGTGTTAGAATAGATGAAAGAGGGGGATTTTAGATGATATATTAGTAAATATAAAAGTTTAGGTGTTGAATATGTATTTATAATAATTTGAAGTGTTATATATGTAAAAATTCCTATTTTCAAATGTTTACGGTTAATAGAAAAACTGATGCTCTATAGATATTTCAATATTCCACTAAATAAATTGAATGGTATTTTAGGCCTTGGGTCTGCTGACCCTTTCCTCCATGCTGCCATCCCTTCGTCCACCCAAGTGTTCCATCGATGTTGGCAAGGTTTGCAGTCCAAATCATTTCCAAACAGGCTTCTTCTATTTCGCAATCTACCTTGTTGCACTTGCTCAAGGTGGCCACAAGCCTTGCACGCAGGCATTTGGCGCTGATCAGTTTGACGAGAAGGACCCTGAAGAGAGCATCTCAAGGAGCTCTTTTTTTAACTGGTGGTATTGTGGTATATGCTTGGGCACAGCCGTGACGATTATAATCTTGAATTACGTGCAAGATAATATTAGTTGGGCCCTTGGATTTGGGATACCGTTTATTTCCATGGGACTTGCTCTCATTTTATTTTTGCTCGGAACTAAGACATATCGCTTTTACCAACTGGAAGGTGAAAATCCTTTCCATAGAATTGGGAAATCATTCGTTAGTCTTGCGAAAAGTCGCTTGGCGTCTTCACATGCATTGACTGGGAGCCAGACCTCCACGTCTGATGGACCTGATCATAACAAGTAAGTCATATTCTGTTGAATGGTTTCCTTAGGCTACATTCATTTAGTACTTTTTCTCATCCCTTTCTAACTGTTAAGCGAAAATTTCATGTTTCTCTTTTAGGCGGTGTTTGATATAGGATTGGATTCAATTTTAGTAGGATTTACTAAATCTTATAAATCCGGATTTAGTAAATCCTAGACTCATAAATCCTAAAGAGTGTTTCATATGACAAATTTTAAATCATGTTAAATCCAGAAAAGTGTTTGGCCGCGGGAAGATCCGAATAGAAATGAGATTAAGATTTAGACGGATTTACCGGATTTATGCCGTAAATCCGTAAGTCCTGGATTTACGGATTTGCCGGATTTATAACGGGCCGAATTGCGTTTGGCTGGATTTACGCTAAATCCTACAAAAAACGACGGACAAATCCGATACCAAACAGGCCCTTAGTCTGTGGATAGCCTTGACTATCCCAATTCAGTGGATCTCTTCTTAGAATTACATATATCAAATTCCTGATGTTACTTGCATCCTTTTCCTTACATTTTCTGGTTTTCTAACCAATATTTTACTGAGTTTCTGCGTCATATTTTAATATAATAATGCTCATCTGCTTCTTGATAGCCGATAGTACTACACTCAGAATGCTCATAAAAAGTCATTATTGTGTAGGCTTGAGACTGGTGAAGCACCAGATACAATCCAAACAGAAGAAGCAAAAGGAGTGCTTCGATTGGTACCAATATGGGCTACAAGCTTAATATATGCTGTGGTCTTTGCACAATCATCAACCTTTTTCACCAAGCAAGGGAGCACCCTTGACCGGAGTATCGGTTCAAGCTTCCAAGTTCCACCTGCGGCCTTGCAGAGCTTCATCAGTATCTCCATTGTTGCATTCATTCCAATCTATGATCGAATCCTAGTTCCTATGTCTAGAAAATTTTCTAGGATTCCTACAGGAATCACACAACTCCAAAGGATTGGGGTTGGAATGGTCCTTTCACTAATATCAATGGCAATTGCAGCCCTAGTTGAGGTCAAGAGATTGAAAACCGCCAAAGATTATGGGCTGATAGATCAACCGAAGACGGCAATTCCAATGAGTCTTTGGTGGTTAGTTCCTCAGTATGTCATCTTTGGCATTGCTGATGTGTTTACGATGGTTGGCTTGCAGGAATTTTTCTATGATCAGGTCCCTGATGCACTGAGGAGTCTTGGGCTTGCTCTCTACCTTAGCATTTTTGGCATTGGAAGCTTCATTAGTAGCTTACTCATAACTGTCATCGATGAGACAACTAGTATGAGTGGAGAGAGCTGGTTCTCTGATAATCTGAACCGGGCTCATCTTGATTATTTCTACTGGCTTCTTGCTGGTCTCAGTGCTGCAGAGCTGATCATCTACCTGTACTTTGCACGATCTTATATATACAAGAAGAAACAAAATACTGCATTTTAGCATTATGGTGCTTCTTCACAAGACATTTTAGCATTAAGGGCTTTCTTGGATTGAGCGCCCGTTCATTTTTTAATCTGGGAGTGCTGTGTTGTGATTCTTCTTTTGTAATGTTCTGATTTCTTCATGGGGAATTTTCTCTGAGTTTCTGTCTGTAAATGTAGATGAAAATTTTACTGAACCACGTAATGGCACTCGGTGCTCTCTTTATTTGTGATTGTGCATTTCATTCTTGCTTTTATTCATCATAATTGGTGATAATTTTTTTGATTGAAACACAACTTTGTTGATTTGTGTTCTTTTAAACATTTTAAGTTCTTGCAGACAATCGACTATAAACTTTCAGCAAGTGGTATCTAAACACAGCAATGTGGTTAACAAAGTTTGATACAGAGATATTTTCAGCTGAGAATGATTTCGGTGATTGAAGATGAGAGCAATGATGGTGAAATAAGGACTGAAAGATAGATCAAAATGATATAAATAAAAAATTTAAAAATCTTCCAGATTTTATTTCTGATAAGGAGAAGAAAGATCTGCTAGATTAATCCCACCTTGTTTTGATCTTGTGTCTAGTTGATTATGTTTTGAGGAAGGTGGCCAAGGAGAGGGCTACTGCTGCTGTTTGGAGCAAAACTCAAACATTTGTATACGACAATTGTGTGGGCTCCGAAAATTCGTCCCCGGCCTCCGCTCGCTTTTCTTATTCGGCGAGGGAGTTTTAACGAACTAAGTTCCGAGGTAAATTTTGGAAGGCAGATAGGTTTGTAGATAAGACACTACCCAGAGATTTCGCCCTCATTTTGTGAGGACTTTATGATCTGAGTTCTGGTTTCCTATAGGCGCAAGCCCCTATAGTTAATTACCCCTCCCGGTCACGAGAGAGAACTTTCGATTAAGGCTAGTCGTCAATCAGATGCGTATAAAATACGTATATCTGGCATATAGTAGCAGCAATAAGTATAGAATTGAGGATTGGAAGTTTGGAATTTGAAAGGTTTGGATATTGGGAAATTTGGAGGGTTTGATATTTAAAGTAGAAATTTCACCATCCTGCACTTAAAGCTGATGGTGGGGGAATGGATGATGGACCCGATCAAGATCCCATGGTTCCGTCGTCCCGGGCCATCGTGGTCCCTGGTCTAATTAGTCAGAGGAGGTAGTCGACCCAACCTGACAGAAGGATCCTTGTCGGCAGCCATGGGTTGCTTCGTCCAAGGGAACCTTGTAGACCGGGGTTGAATGTTTGTCTAAGGGGACAAATTTGAATCTACCTTAGCTAACAGAGGGCTTTGTGCCCTATCAATCATATCCTATTGATTCATATCTCAAGGATTTAACGCCATTAAGGAGCGTATTGGCTCTGGCCATAACCGCTATCTGTGGTGCCATTTGGCGGCAAAACCACTCGGTTCAGAGGGCCCCGGGTCATAACCGTTTACCTGCAGTGCCATTTGGCGGCGAAACTGCCGGTTAGAGGACACGTACCACGCCCTTACTGGCAAGAGATTGTTTGAGAATGGATCCTAGTGATATTTTCGACTAGGCATTTGGCTCTTTGTGAGCTAGAGTTTATTTGAATTTATCCGCCTCGACAAACTGTTACGGAGGGCGAATGGATTTTGCTTTAACTGCGTTGATGGTTTGATTTCAATTTTAAATATCTTGAAATTTGGAATGATTTTTAGATTTTGAGTGGACTATTGGGAGATATTTAAAAATATTTGGGAACCCCTCCGGTTGAGATCTGCATTCAACACGGCCATCATCGGGGTGTTTGGGGGTCATTTCCATTTGATTGAACCTTGTCGACCCTATCAACTTATCGATAGGGGATCGGGTTTCTCGTAGGCTTTGTGCCTTTGTTTATGAATTTTCTTGATTTTAGGCATTGAAGGCCTAAAAAGAATGTATTTAAACAAATACACCGGTCACTACAACCGTGTATCTATTTGATAGTTCGAACCCTGTCGACTCCTATTGATCCGTATAGAAGGATCAGGCTC